ATACTATTACCCTTTTTCAAAATCTAATTTTTTTTAGGTACGGTATTAAATTTGATCTTTTTATTTCACTTTTTGGAACCTGTGATATTGAGGGACTATCTTGTATTGTATATTCTAATTCACACTAAGCTGTTTAAAACTACAGCTCTTTAGACTGTCACTAAAAGGATAAGGTACGGTATTTAAATAAATCCTGTGTACTTTGTATTAGGAATGTAGTACAAAGTACAGTTATGTAGTACAACATGCAGGTGTGCTGCTTTGTTCAACTAAATTCTCAGATCATTCAAGTTGTGTCATAGTTTCTGAGAAATCTAACAAGATAACCTGACATGTTAATTGCAATTGCAGCTTCTTAAAACAGGGATGTTGTGTGTGTTGTTGTATATAGTGTTTCAGGATCATTATAGTAACTTACACCTTATTGTGGGACTACACAACTATTTCAAATTTCCTGTAATAATGTTGTGGTGTAACAGATAGCAGTACATGAATATAAAGAATTTTGGAATGAATTAACTCTCAAATTAAAAGATTTAAAAAAACAGCGATTTTCTAACACTCAACAGATTAAATTCAACATAAAATAATCAGAAAGTCAGTAATTTTGTTTGTACTGTAATTGCATTGCCGTAGGTGTTTCAATACCACACAACACATGTGATGATAATTAAGTTAATGTACCTCTCTATTTCTCCGGTATCCTCTACCGGGTCACAGTTACACATTTCCTATGGTAATAGCTTATCCCCTATGGAAAATTTGCTAAAAAACTGATGCATTGTTAAATTAAGGACTATGAATGATAGTGAAAGTTAACTGAACCTCTTTGCGTTGTGATCATACATAAAAACTTGGAAAGTACTTTCCTTAAATACTGTAGCAAGTTCCTGATCTTACAGATTACTCAAACAATTTTATACATCAATAATTTATTTATTGAAAATATAGTTTTTTTTATGGTACGCTTGACTTTGGTCAATCATACGAGTACTCTAGTGTTAAACTATATTGAAATGATTTAAACTAAACAACAAAAGGTTTCAGTTTTAGTGTCCTCTTTCCGTTGCAAAGCACGGTACAACAGCTAGTATATACATATACATTTATTCATATAAGATACTATTCTGCTACCGTATAACAGCTACACAAGATTAGGTTAGGTTTTTTTTTTTATTTTTACATTAAAAATGCATTTACTTCCATTTTAAATGTTTGACTTCCTAGTCTAATCTGGTGTGGTCTGTAGTTGATAGCGGTATGCAAGCAGTAGACCTACACGGTGAGCTTGTGTAGGCAGGGGTGCCCATTTGATTGATCAATTCACCAGTTCCAACCCCATTCTGAGACCACCACTGCACGTTGCTATTACACATTCTCTATATACCTCAGTCTCACACAACAATATGTTGACTATCAGATGAAAATAAACAAATATTAGCACACAAACAGTGCCGAAACTCCACGGATCCTATACTACTTTGAGTCAAGATTACGGTCTACTGTTATTATAAAGACGTCTGTACCAAATCACTGAGTACGGTCTGAAACAAACTACCATATTGGCCTACAGTAGCTTACACGACCAAAACCATAGCATGGAATCCTCAAGTGAGAAGCAAAAGTAAAATTGGTATGAAACCAAACCAAACATCATACCAAATTAACGTGTACAACACAGCCTTGCTTGGTTTCAGAATGTATAAAATGTTGCTTTAGTTTTGAAGTTTGATGACAAATCCAAGTCACGAACCAACCCAAACCTCACTAGCTTTGAACTAGTTTTGCGATTGGCGGTTGGTTTTGATTGCACTACCATACGAAGTTTACAAATACCGTGATAAAGGCGCAAACATATTCTCCTCCGAGTATCGTTATAGAGATAACTACCATGTCTATTACTGTGTATACTATGTCTTGTAAGTTTTAATAATTGTACAAGTCAATTTAGGATTTGATGTAATGACACTAGTGAACGGCGGAGAAAAGGTTTTGCTTGATACCTTGATAGGACATAAAAAACAAAGATCAATGCTAACAACCAATCAAATTCTAATTCAAAAAAATACTCTAGTCCCCTCTTTGGAGAAAGGTTATAGTTTGTTTTTTTACACACGAATTGTTATTAATGTATGGTGGTTAAGCGTAAATAATGTTTTCCGAAAAGAGTAGCCTATACTATAATTAATACCCCCGCCGCAGCAAACCTGCCGACTAAGCGAATTTCCATTTGTCTGAATTGATTTTCAGTTAAATATATTTTAATAACATTAGGTTTAATGAGTACCTAGGTTTGCTGCTACAAGGAAACTAATAAAGTATGTTTTTGAGTAAAATATTGATAGCTTAGTACAAAATAAATCAATTTGCCAAGTTTGATCAAAATATATTCATAAACAAGCAAACTACAACATTTGACAATATTCTCCATAAGAATAACATGGGAATTTTAAATTTACAATTTTTTTAATTTTCTCCGTTACTAATAATCGAACAAAAATACTTTTATATACTAAATTATTTGTTTTTTTAAGCTCTTTAAAAAGGTCTAAAGAGAAATTGGGAAATTTTGTGTTTTGAGGGTCAAAAGTGAGAAAAACCAATTTTTACCCCATAAAACCCCCCGTAAAGCCCCGTTCCCATGGTCCGATCGTGCTGGTTCGCGAACTCATTCAAGTTTATCCCGCTTTACACCTTTAAACCAAATTTCATCAAAATCGGACAAAAATTACTCAAGTTATCGCGTTCACGGACGTATATATATATATATATATATATAAGTCTATATATATATATATATATATACATATATAAAAATTTGAACGAATAGTGTTTTTGGCCTCTGGGGACATCAAAATGAAAAAGTAAATCGGTCCCGGGTCTAGGTCTTACCGTGCCACCTACGGTAATAGCTACTTCCCTATAGGGAAATTCGCTAAAATCCATGTTTTAGCCCCTGAGCTGTATAATAACTAAAAATAGGCTTTACCTTCGTCACTGCAGCTCAAAATCCTGTGGTGTAACTATGTTACGGCCGTTTCGACATTATAATGCCATCGTCAGACTACAAAAACACAAACTCAGCTGAAGTAGCGTCGTTGAAGTTTAAACACGTAACACATACGAACAATAAAATACATTTAAAATATTTACAAAAACCGAACAGGCCTGTCGTACTAACGGGTGACATGTTCCCGTTCCGAGCAAAAACCGACTGGAAGATTTCTATGTCGAGCCCGGTGTGGTGGCGTTATCAGTTGAACTTTGTACTCCTGGCTTCTTGTTCCTTTTCTGATTTAAAATGCTATTGAATATGAAGTGTGACTTGTACTGTAGTTTGTCGTTTAAAATTATATCGTCCAAATTATTTTCGGTGTAAGCTTTGTAAATTTCATACTCTTCTAGGGTGTCCAGTCTATTGCCTTTCTTACTTGTGTGGAGTATTTCTAAGCCAGTGTTCAGATCGTTCATGTCGTGATTTTTGTCAACCAAGTGTTGTGCAAACGATGACTTTTGTTTGTCGGCTCTAGGAAATGGATGGTGCTCTTTGTATCTGGTTTTGAATGAACGTCCAGAACAAATTGAATGTTTCAAGTGGCGTAATTGATAAAGGTGAAAAGTCAGGTGTGTATAAGATTAATTGTGCAAGTTGCCCGAGCTACTACATAGGAAAGACTGGACGTTCATTCAAAACCAGATACAAAGAGCACCATCCATTTCCTAGAGCCGACAAACAAAAGTCATCGTTTGCACAACACTTGGTTGACAAAAATCACGACATGAACGATCTGAACACTGGCTTAGAAATACTCCACACAAGTAAGAAAGGCAATAGACTGGACACCCTAGAAGAGTATGAAATTTACAAAGCTTACACCGAAAATAATTTGGACGATATAATTTTAAACGACAAACTACAGTACAAGTCACACTTCATATTCAATAGCATTTTAAATCAGAAAAGGAACAAGAAGCCAGGAGTACAAAGTTCAACTGATAACGCCACCACACCGGGCTCGACATAGAAATCTTCCAGTCGGTTTTTGCTCGGAACGGGAACATGTCACCCGTTAGTACGACAGGCCTGTTCGGTTTTTGTAAATATTTTAAATGTATTTTATTGTTCGTATGTGTTACGTGTTTAAACTTCAACGACGCTACTTCAGCCGAGTTTGTGTTTTTGTAGTCTGACGATGGCATTATAATGTCGAAACGGCCGTAACATAGTTACACCACAGGATTTTGAGCTGCAGTGACGAAGGTAAAGCCTATTTTTAGCTATACTATAAACTGGACGGCACGACGATGAGTAGACAATAGTTGTCCCCAACATGGTTGGGAGAGGGGAGAGCCGCCATGTTGATCTTCATTCATCCACAGCTCTTTCAATTTATTCAACATTGTCCCGTCAATGGGTTGGCTTAGCATACAAACGCGGGTCTATGGTCTTCCCACCTCACCAGTAGGGTATTAGGCGATAGAACACCACCTAGTGTTGGTGGCACTGGCACTAGTAGCTCCAAGACTCTCAGCTCTTTTGTGTCATTTGTCTTTTATATGGGGGTCATAAATGGTGCCAAGATAAAGTACATACACACATACTGGAGAAACACAGATCACCCCACTCCATTCTCCGCGTACACACACAAGTACGTCGCTGTCTTATTACAGTAACAAGGACCTGAGTTGATATGTTACCAAACACACCTCTCTGAAGTTGATAAAAAATTACAAAAGACCGTACTAAATAACACTTTTGACTATTAATACAACAACTTCTGTATCCAATAGTCAATGATAACACTAATAGTTGACCACAAATTCTACACGAAAATTTGCAAAATAAAAATAAAGTGAGCTTGTACAATGGAATGTATCGGCTAAACATGATTGCATTTGTTTGGAGGAAATTTCTAATGCATTATTCAATAAGTTTAGGCCCTTATTTGCAAATGTATACAAATAAATAATTGAGGTTGTAAACTAGTGAAGTGACGTACCTCTGAGGATCTGGTAGAGGAAGACTTTGATGTGGTCGGGCGACAGGTACTGGGGCGACACTATGATCTTGTGTAGGTCGCTCTGTAGTAGCTCGGTGATCACGTATCTGACGACAAGAGTCAAGGAAACGACAATAATAATACATTGGAGCTTATGTTGTAAAAGAATGATGGCTTGAAATGCATACAATTTGTACAAATTACTGGATAATTAAAATTCAAGTTGACGATTGTTAACGAGCTAACGATCATCAACACAATTAACGAGGATGCGGAATACTACCCCCGGAAACCACCCCACCCCACAGGTAATAGTCCAGTCAAGGAATGAGGTGTAGAGTGCGTGAGCAGGTAACTAAGCGATTCCTTCAGAAACTTGTTCAGGGGGCTTAGGGTGTTAACATACCAAAAGTCCTGACTCCTAGGTGGTGAGCCAGGGGGTGGAGGGGGGAAAAAGGGGGGGGGAGAAAGGTACGCATTTTGGGTTTTTTTATTATATCTCGAAAACTATCAACTTTTTGTATACTATAGTAAATTATAAAATTGGAGAAGATTAAATTTTCTACAAGAAAAGTATATAATGTGTTTATTTTGGTTCAACAGATTACGAGTTATAACTTATTTAATTGATATCTTATTAAAATCTCCTTCCATAAGAAATACATGTAAATTAGTATGCGAAATGGGGCGAATCCTATCCGCCCAAAGGAAATATAAATGATATTCTGGAAATCTTGACAAAATTTCCAGTAATTTGACACTTTAATCATTAAAATTGATCCAAAATTAACACGAGGGCGAGGTAACAAAATGTCGAGTTTTGGTGTTTTTTTATTGGAATTATAAAAAAAACCTTAAATCATCCCATTTTTAAACGCTCACCCTCGCTTTAATTTTTGACAAAATTTCATGATTAAAGTGTCAAGTTACTGGAAATTTTGTCAAGATTTCCAGAATATCAGTTATATTTCCTTTGGGCGGATAGGATTCGCCCCATTTCGCATACTAATTTACATGTATTTCTTATGGAAGGAGTATTTTAATAAGATATCAATTAAATAAGTTATAACTCGTAATCTGTTGAACCAAAATAAACACATTATATACTTTTCTTGTAGAAAATTTAATCTTCTTCAATTTTATAATTTACTATAGTATACAAAAAGTTGATAGTTTTCGAGATATAACCAAAAAATCCAAAATGCGTACCTTTTCCCCCCCTTTTTCCCCCCTCCACCCCCTGGCTCACCACCTAGGAGTCAGGACTTTTGGTATGTTAACACCCTAAGCCCCCTGAACAAGTTTCTGAAGGAATCGCTTAGTTACCTGCTCACGCACTCTACACCTACTTTTGGATCATTCATTGACTGGACTATAAAGAGCGTGACGTCACGAAATCTGTCTACTACAACCAATGGGAACCGTGTCCGCGACTGGAATACTACCTACCTCCCAAGCAAAATGTGAATGATATGTATTAAATTAATTTCATACGTAATAATTTTGTAATTTAATTCAAGTAATTCCGTTTGATAACAGAAAAGGTATGTGGGGAATTTCAAACAGAATTTGGAAATGTTACAGCAAGTTCAGTTAGTTAGGTTAGGTTAGTTTAGAACAGTTTGACATCGAAACTTGAGTGTCCGTGACTGGAAGATTGCCCCCTCCCCGGGTGGATCAATGACGTCTACATAGCGTAGGATCCTGCTTAGGGGGTTAGTTGTTTGGGGGGGCAGTCTTTCGGCGTCTCCTATAAACTACAAATTATTTAAGAAAACGCACAAATATTAACTCGTGGGATGCTTAAGGGCATGTGACATTAAGTTTCATATTACATTACACAACTTAATATTACGATCAACAATCTTATTTTCTTTGGAATTCTTAATTTTTAAGAACATTACAACCAACAAGCCGCACTTGCTGTACGATCATTTCTCAAAATCTGAGTACGTAGTTGATAGTGGATAAAGAAGCACGTGTGTCGGTAGTGCTAATGCTGTGTCTCTCTGGTAGAGCGGCGTAGGCAGATTTACGAGTACCAACTACACAACAAGGTCGTCTGTCCGGCGGCGACGGCGGCATTCCGCGCCCGGGCCGCTTCTTAGTATGCACACTGTCCGAAATAAAGGAAACATATATCAAAGGAGTAGTGGGAGTGAGCGTGCGGAGGTCAAGAAACTGAGAGCGAAGCGACAACTCGTAAAAACTGACAACTGACAGGACGCGTGACTTCCTGATACCGGTGTGACGCACGCTGCAGTACAGTAGCTCCTAGCACGCCTCCTTGCGGCTTGTGTCTCCTCATAGTGTTCTTTGTGCAATACAATTGTTTAAAAAATCAATTCGGAGATTTGAGAAGCCCAAACAGTGTATTTTACCATAAGAGACTTATCATTACGGACCATTGGAAACTGCTGCATCCCACCAGAATGTAAAGATCGACGGCTCGATGTGCAACAAACGCAATTCCATTAATAGTACTGATATCCTCGTCTACAGACAAAGGCTGGGTAGCATCTCCTGCTCCTCGGTGGCGGTGGCGGGCAGTTGACCGACCACAAGGCCAGGGCCGGGCCAACAACCGCCAGAAGGCCGTCTAGTCCACCGCTGCCGTCGCTCGCACCTTGTCATTACTGTACCGACCCTCCGCTCCGGTGTCATCCCCGCCATCCTCCACCCTCCACATCAATTAGCAAAACATAAGTTTCTGTTGTGTACTATAGCTGTGATTTGTGGTGTTGTTCTGTGTTGTGTAGATGCAGAGCTACATTACGTGCATGATATGCTGTAACTGCTTGCAGTATGTGTTATTTCCGGGTCGGCGCCAGGCGGAGTTAAGACAATTACGCTAATTGAGCTCAGTTACTCTTGCCTTGATGAACCCCAACAAAAACGCAGTTACTGAAATGTATAAACATATCCCTGTGGAATGTTGACCCCAGAAATCATCTCCACAAAATGATAAGTTATGGTATATTGTACCATTTGAAATAACGTCGAATACATATATTAAGATGGTAAGTTTTACAATGAATATGCAACAATTATGTATTTTTAACTGTTCTCACAGGCACTTACACAATAATCTATAATCATCCGGGGTTGTACTGTTTATAATGTTGAGCGGGTATCTAAGGGGGTGCAAGTTGTTCAAGGATAGAAAAGTATCAAAACGCAATTGTTAAATAGAACAAGAATACACAACAAGAATAGGTTACATTTTCGTTTCGGGCTGCCGAAAAAAGTGATGGCCAAGAAACAGTGCTGAAAAAGGTATTGGGTAGGAAACCGTTGTGATATGAAGAAGCATCAATTTGGTCTGATGAATGTCTTACATTTATTAGTTTTAAAGTCTGACGCTTCAAGAACGGTCAATCTCAGCACTATTACTGTAAGGGTAATATTCCTTGTTGGGGTTCAGTGAATTGAATTCTTTGATATAGTTTTACACAAAACATTTTAGATCGATAAAAACAACATACTAAATATGTCTGCTACACTACTTATGCCTACTTCCGTCTCCAAAAGTAACTATTTAATCACTAACCATGGGTAATATGTTTTATAATCTATGGTTTAGTTTGTAGTGATTCAAAAAGATATTTAATTGTTCAACAACAGGTAAATACACGAAAATGTCATGAATGACAACAGTTTTGTGTTGACAGATTTCACAACACGGTAGTAATTTAGTTTTATGTACATGGATTTTTTACAGTATAGGCTATTCATTCAACACACGATTTCAGTTATATGTCGCTGTATATGGTGGCCGGGATCGCTCGATATGAAGAATATTGAATACAAGTTCAGAGAAAAGCTGGCACCCTCACAGCCGAAACAATCATCGAATTGGTTACGGCCCATAGAGGGGCGCCAGTAGCTATGACGACGACACAACCCTCCTAAGTAGAATAATTAACATCTTTTCTTTGATAGAGGGGAAAATTTTGGTTATTTTGATGCTTGCTTAGTGAAGTACATTCTGTAAATAGTAATATTCATATAGAAATAGACACATTTTATTCATGAACAGTTTAAAACCGACTATACCTCGTACACGTTTACGTAGCATTGTTATACAAAAGACATATTTTATTCATGAACAGTTTAAAACCGACTATACCTCGTACACGTTTACGTAGCATTGTTATACAAAAGACATATTTTATTCATGAACAGTTTAAAACCGACTATACCTCGTACACGTTTTCATTTACGTAGCATTGTTATACAAAAGACATATTTTATTCATGAACAGTTTAAAACCGACTATACCTCGTACACGTTTACGTAGCATTGTTATACAAAAGACATATTTTATTCATGAACAGTTTAAAACCGACTATACTTCGTATACGTTTTCATTTACGTAGCATTGTTATACAAAAGACATATTTTATTTAAAAGACACTCAGGCCTATATAAAATGTATCAGTTTTCTATCTAGTTATTACGCTATATAACAATGATGTATTGTTCTGAACGCCATTCATGTATACTTTTGAATGTCTGTGAATAAAGTATTTTTGAATTGAGTTGAATATTGGATAAGAATTGTAAAATATATTAAGACTAGGTCTGATTCAGTCTTTCCACCGAGAAAAAGCAAAGATCCCCCTCACCCGGCCAAAAAATTCCTGTTTTATCCCCCCAAATGAATGTCATGAAATATCCTGTATTCTGGTTTATTTTATTAAACAACGTACTAAGATATGATTGGTTTTATCCACAAAAGCTCAAATAAATCAGGCGTCAGAGTCGGAAATCCCGTTTTATTGCGCACCTCCGTTTCAATTCCGTGCATGGTATAAAACTTGTGTTTTTGTGATTAAAGTCCCCATACCTCTTCATTGATACGCGGGGGTGGGGTAGGCCTACTAATGATTTTCCGAACCATATACAGTCCTCGGGAAGACTCAGATGACATCTAATCTCGAATGACTTGGAATAAACAAAATTAAGCAATTGTTTCTGATCGTGGAATATGTTAGATAATCATCTCCAGACAGTATTCTCTTGGTGTTATTTTTTATGAACTAATTTTAATTATTAAATATTTTTTATTTGGCAAATTTAATGGTACTGGTTGAATAATTGTTTA